CAGACTCAGACTAGTTTTGAGAAAATATTATTTAGCAATTAGTTACATGCCTTTAATCCTTCTGAATAAAAAACAATTTTTAAACAATTACTGGATGAGAACAGAAATCATTTTGCTCACTGAAAACACTCAGAGAAAAAGGATGGTTTTACCCCAAATAACAGTTTTTTTTAAGGAAAAGTTTCAGAAATTAATTGCCCTAAATCCATCTTTCTCTCCCCACCCCTCTCCCTCTTGCTCATCTCTGGAAGAAATCCCTAAGGCATTTTTCTTGATACCATGTCAACAGTGTGCAAGGCAGAAAAAAATTCCTGTCCTTAAAAAACGGGGAATACAATTTGCATTCCATCGATGATAAGAAAATAAGGCTATCAAGCAACTGTTTGCGAAACCTGTAAATAATAGAAAGAAAAAAAAGGTAGTGTCCTCAGGAATTCATGGCTTAGGCATTTGTTTAATCATAACCCACTAATGATCTATACTGTTACTGGGGCCTTTCCATATTTGGTCTCGCTTTTAAGTTGTGCGCTATTTTCTAAAGGTGTCTGAATGTGCCTAACATCTCAGGGTTCATGCACAATGTAGCCACCACTAAGCCTCTGCTTTTGCCACTGTACCGACTCCTTATGAAGTTAGTACTGTCACAATACCAAATTCTTTGGTCTTCTGGGTCAACTCAGAAAGGCTAAGAAGAAGAAAATGGTCAGTCTCTCTGCACGCTGGCTACCCAGATCCTCCTGTCTCTTCTAAGATGCTTAGGGGCCCTCTCACAAGGTTAGAAGCCTATGTCTCAGGGCTGGTTCCATAATCACTCAGTCTGTGTTAATCAGAAACAGAAGTCACATTGCTCTGACATTACTTGCTTAGAAATGTTGTATCCCTATGAGAATGCAGGCCCTTTGGAAATATAAATCAAGGCTTATGCTTTTCATATTCCCCAGGTACCAGCAGCAGTCATTAAATAGCTGTCACTTAAATTCATCCGAAGTTAATCGATTACAAAATGCCTGGGCACCTACAATACACCTAAAACAAAACAAAAACACTATGCAAGAATATTTTCAGAATAATACCATACTACTTTCATGTCTTTATCTTTTAATTGTTCCTTACTTTTTTTAAAGATAGGATAGGGTAAGTCCAGGTCAGGCCAGCCTCGAGCTTGGACTATACGTGTATGCCGCCATGCCTACCTCCTAGTGCCATAAGATTCCTGACTGCTTGTACAGCATATACTCTTTTTACAGGTGTGTTCATTCCTTTTAGTAGAAACATGGCATAGTGAAGGATTCGCCTTGCAATGAATGTTTAAAGACATCATAGACTGAATGGCACTGAAGGGTCCTGTGGAAGGTGGGAGCTCAGGAAGACTACCTTAACCTTCACTTGATGCAATATGGAAATGGAAACAAGATCTACTCTGGTAGACAACTCTGTAAGTAGTTGAGGAGAAGGGTCTTGAGAAAGGGATAGTCCATATCAACAATGTCTTGTTTTGTGATGGTTATAAAATGAGCTACATTACAATTATATGAGATCTGTCTACAAACCATTAAGTCTAACAGAAACTGAACCACAATGTATAGCAATTATTAGAGTTCTGTCATGGCTATAATTTTTTTAATAGATAATCTATAAAATGGCTCCTTCCACAAAGGAAAAAAGGGGAAAGAAAACAAGCTAGCAGATAAAGTGTGAAGATGCAGGTGGACTAATACAAACAGTTTGAAAGAGGAGTCACAGGTATACACCACACAGGCAGACAATGCGATAAACTTACTAGCTACAGCACTCAGCAAAAAGGAAGAAAATGTGGGTTTTACTAGTGTAACAAGTAGAAAATGGGAAAAGTGAGACTAGTCTGAAAGCTTCTCAATGAAAGGCAAGGGGAATACTGAATATTTTAAAACTTCTAGAGAACGGGAGGAGGACAGCGGTATACAAAGTCCTAACCTATAATCAAGTATTTGCTGCCAAACTGGTTGAGGCTGGATGTCACACAGTGAACATGCATCCACTTCTTAAACAGGAAATAGCTTAGTAGAAACCAAGGGCTATGCCATATCTTGACAATGGCTTTCTTCTTCTGTCCTTAGTTTAGCTGCAGATGGTCAACTGCGCCTATGCTGACAGTGGAAAGGTTTTGACAGTGGCTAGGTTCTCTAGAGCAAAAGAAACAGAACCTCAAGAAATACCACCAATTCAATCCAAACTCAGAGTAAAAATTAAGATTAAAAACTAAGAAAGGAAGGGCTGGGGAGACAGTTAAGTCAGTAAATAAAGTACTTTCATGAGGACTTGAGTTTTGCCCACAGTACCCAAGTTAAAAAAAAACAAAACAAACAAATGTGATAGAGCAGATTCCTGGGACTTGCTGGCCACACCAGCCTCATTCTAAACCAAGCGAGAGATCAGTTAGAAAAATAAGGTGGACAGCACCCAAGGACAACCCTCAAGGTTGATCTGGCCGATTCATAAAAAAAGCAGGAAAATAGAAAGAAAAATCAACTATACTACTTAAAATTAGTAAGGGCCTATCCTAACACTGCATAATGTGCATTGTAAAAAGAAAAGATACTGAAGAGGGAGGGCCACTACCAGTGACAAAGACCAAGAAGAGATGGTCAGTACAGTCAAAGCAGAAAGGGGGTTAAGAGAAAGAAGCTGGTATACACACACCCAGGCACTCAGGCACTCGCCAGCAGAACACCAGTTTCTTGGGAATCCACCCTCACCTCTGTAGGAGATGAAGGTTATTATAACATGGAGAAAAACTGCAAGTGACAAAAGGGGAGTTTAATTAAAAAGTTAGAAAAGATGACAAGAAATCAAGAAAGGTTATTCCCTAAACTTGGGTAAAGGCAAGAGACTAAGGAAGGAAGTCTTTCTTCCTGTGCAGGGAATGGGCACCGGAACAGTGGCCAACTTCATTACTAGGTTGAAAGGGGAAATAACAGGAATAAAACTGTTGTTTATATTGATGGTAAGTAACACAGAGGAAATTTGGTTCCTCTTTCAGTGAAGGGGTCATTATGCCTTGAAAGGATTGCTTGGGGGATGGGGGAGTAAGAGTGTCAGTGAGCCCTAGGAGTACCTATCAGGCAAAAAGGAGTAATAGAGTGTCTATCATAATGTGTGAGGCCTTGGGTTCCATCCCCAGAAGCTCATCCACTCAAAAGGAAGAGGTCCCCATTCAGTTGATCTCCTGGCTCCACACCATGTTCATTTTCCTGCTTCCTAGTCCTAGCTGGGACATAATGATCCAGACTGTTCCAATTTCACATGGATAATTACTATTCATTCTGACATTCTCTTTCTTGTAAGTCTTACTTTGATTTGATGATCACACTCTATAGTCTGCGGATCCAACTGAAAACAGAAATTCCAGGTATGACCATTCTTTTACTTTCCCACCCTGCTAGTGGGATGTAGCCATGCATTAGAGGGAGTAATCATGCCCATCACCACATGTCTTCCACTGCTATCCCGATGGAAATGAGCAGAGACCAGTATAAAGGATGGAATCAGTAGGCAGAATTAGATTTGGCAAAACGAAAGAAATTTCCATTGTTTTTCACCTATTAGTATAGGGCCTAATCTTTTTAAAGCTAAAATAAATACAGCCAACTGAGTTTTTCCTGCCATGAATAGAACATATTGAGTTCAGAACTCTCATGATCTAGTAAAAAGACAAGTTTTGTTTTAGACTTGCTAGTGGGGATGGATCAATGCATCAAACAAGTTACAAAATAGTGTTTTCCAAAAGTCTATCTCTTAGAGCTCTCAACCAGGATATAATCCACAAAAAACAGTTCTTGGGATCTATTACATTTGAGGAATGCACACGGTACCACATGCTCCTCTTATAAAGTTTCACTACAAATAGAAAACGTTTTGAGAAATCCTGCAGGCAGAAAGTCTATTTGGTGTTGTTCCGCTCAGATTTTCATAAACTTACTTGCCCCTAGAATTCTTTTCCTGTCTTCTGAAAACATGTTTTGTTAAGTGCCATCCCACAGAGTACTGAAGGCTGTAACTGGACCCCATGTGGTTTAGAACATATGCTGGGGAGAAGTTTGGGTGGAAAATGATGTAAGAAATTCTCTGGAGGCAATAGCCTCAAAACCATGACTATGAAAAGAGGGACAGTGAAGGACACTGAAAGGGACAAATACCAGAAGAGACATGCTGACATGCTCTCAATACAGCCAAGGAGCAAAGGAACACTGGGCATGAGCCTGCTGGCTACATGGAGCTGTCCAGTTCCTGCGGCTCTCTGATCCTTAGAACAAACTAAAATAACTGGTGGTTTATGTTATTATCCGTTTATAGATGGGGAAATTGAGGCATAGAGGGGACCATTGTCTTGAATGTCTTTTATACAAATAGTTCAGTTTGCAAAATTGATGTGCTAAGACTTGAGCCAATAGTTAATGACACGTGTTTATGGAGGTGAAGTAGCAAGATGTCATAGGTAGCATGGTGACCTTCCTCATGCGAGGAAGGGACATGGGGATTCTGGGATGCAGGAAACAGCATGGCATTTCCAGGTCTCAGTTTTCTCCTCAACAAGTGATAATAATACTGATCTGCAAGACCGTGGAGGGGACTGCACAAAATGAGACACCTTACATTCCAAGGACAGTTTCAGAAGTGGTAGCCTTGTTACACAGAAGACCAATGACTATGTTGTCTATGTTCATGCTTATAAAGCCAGCAGGCAGTTGCTCCACCAACTTAGGAAAAACAGTTCCTAAACCACTTGTTTAAATGACCTGTGAAAGGGAGGGAGGGGGTGTGCAGACTATATTCACTGTTTAACTTTGATTTCTCCTCTATACTAGAAAGCTCTGCATTGGTATCCTGAAACCACTGAAATTCTATCAGGTTTTCTTTCCCTGAGAGAGAATAATTTTGCCAAGCAGGGACATTTTCAAATAATCTCTCAACTATAACAATGAACTTATTTTCTTGTAGATTTTATTTTTTAAAACTCAAGGGATAGCCAATACAAAATAAATGGCACACATTTAAATTACATGATCTCCTAAGTTTGGACATATAGATGCGCCCATTAAAGCATCACCATAATTAAGAGAGTGAAATTATCCAGCAGACCCAGTTTCCTTCTGCTTTTCTGTAGCCCTTCCTCTTGCCACCCTAAGTTCCTTACTTCATGTAACCAACTCCTCCTTCCTGTCATTATGACTTTCTTTTCACTTTCTAGAATTTTATGTAAATGGAATCACACAGTATATATTCTCATGAGTAAGGGTCACTCGTGTTACTTAAGGTAGCCACTGTTCACTCTTTTTCCATTACTGAACAGCATCCACTGAGATACACTGTAATTTGTTTATCCATTTACCTGCTGTTGAACATTTGGATTTTTCCAGCTCTTGGCTACAACTAATGAAACTGAGTGAACATTCATGAACACATGTTTTCTTGTCTCTATAAATGGGACAACTGGATCACATGCTAAGTGTATGTTTGGTATTTTCAGAAACTGCCAAATTGCCTTCCAAAACATTTGTACCATTTTTCTAACTAAATGCCTGTGGGCTCCAAATCCTCCATATCTTCAAAGTCCATTTGATATAGTCAGCCTTTGTAATTTCAGCCATTCAAAGAGGTGTGTAGTTTACCACTGTTTTCATTTGCACTATTCTAATGACTAATGATGCTGAACACCCTTCATGTGCTTGTCTGTCATGTGGGTATCCTCTGTAGTGAAGGATCTGTTCAGATCCATGTTTTAATTTTGTTGTTCTCTTCTTAGTGAAAATGTTATCAGTTCTGGTGATTGGTTAAAGGCCGGTAACAGGAAACTCGATCAGATTTTATAGAATTTATGGTACCCAAGTGAATAAAAATGTTGACTATTTTTTAAAATCCATGTTGGGCTAAAATGTTCTCATATGATGAGCTTGAAGCTCGTTCAAAATTCGAAAAGCACTGAATTATTTCTATGAACAATGCTGCAAGGTTCAGACCTCAATTAGAAACTAGGTAATACCATGCCCATCTACTTGGTTATTCCTCTGCAAAACTACCACCTTTTGTCCCTAAGCCACATTTAACACTTTGTACTAACTATACTCTAGCCCCACAGATTCCATTTTACAAAAACAATTTCTGTTATTCGAAACTGAGCCCACATTCAAAAGTAAGGAAGGCCAAAACCTCTACTACACTGTTTGTGCAAATGGTGGCAGATAAAATGTGATACGCAAGTGTGAATATGGATTCCCTACCGAGATGTGTTAGGGAATGCTAAACTGGAAAGCAACTTTAGGCTTAGCTCTGAGAAAAACAGGCCCGGTTCTGTTGTGTAGCACCACCGGTCTTAGCTCAATTTTACAGTTGATGTGGGTTTCCTTTTAGATGCCTGGAAAATGACTCTGCTGACCACATCCACATTCTGAAGTACTTTTTGAGAACTTGTAACCAAACTGCAGGAACTGACTCATTTTGCAGTGCCCAGCCACCACACAATTGTTTCAGAAGAGCTTCAAGTCAAAGGGAGAAACACCAAGGTTTCAGAATACAGGCAGCAAGTTGTCTGTATTTACAAAGGGGGGGGGGGAAATCCCAGGATGAAGGGAATAACACAGCTCAAGTCCCAGGAGAATAGGCCTTGAACTGAGCAGAAGGCACTACTTACAGTTAGCACACATGCTACTCTCGAGGCAAGAAGTCAGAAGCTGGTGGGCAATAAACCTTGATGTCTTATCTCCAAAAAGTAGATTCAGTGGAGACGGATGACTTCACGATATTTCCTGCAAAACAGTGCCTTGAAAGGCCATTCCTGAAATCCTTGTCCTCTCCAGCTCCTCAGCAAAGGGATGCTCAGTCACAAGAATGCCCTTTACATCACAGGATTTTAAGCAAAAATGAACAGCATGTCCCAGACACCAAGAACGAAGGGCTAACACCTGAGCTTAGGACCAGAGATTTACTGAGTCCCCTGGGACTCTCTTACCAACTCCTCCTCCTCCTCCTCCTCCTCCTCCTCCTTCTCCTCCCTTGTCCACTTCTCCATCTTTTCCTCTTGGCTCCCAAGGTCGTTCATCCAAGGATATCTGTGTGCTCATAAAGTCCCAGGTCTCTCTCTGTCTCGACACAGAGCTTCCGCATCAGGGAAGGATGAAAAGCAGTCCTCCTCCTCCACACCACACTCTGTTCCTGAAGTATTCATTTCTCCCTCCCCACAAGTGAAACTGATTCAGTCAGTTTCAGCCAGAGGCGGTGAGGATATCCGGTCCAGTTGAAGCAAGCTATAAATGACAAAACCAGTAACTCTTTTCTGCAGGTGGGCCCCTTGCTAAAAAGAGGGTTAACCCAAATGCATCACCAACCAGTAGAAAGTCAAGCCAGATGATAAGAAGTAGATAAAAAGGTTCAGGTAGTGAGAAGTAAGACTCACTCAGATAAGATCTACAAATAACTATCAAGTGCCTGCTAAGCCCCATTTGTTGTCAGGCCTGGCCGATCACAGTCTACTTGTCTGTATACTGTCTGTTCTCCCCATGCCATGTCTCTTAACATGGAAACTCCCAGATGATAGAAATTGCAGCTCCTTCTCAAAAAGTCAGACTTTCAGTATGAGATTATAAAAATTAAGAGAACAATAGGGAGCATTGACAGCAGACAACTCTACATGGTAAATATGGCTTTTTTTTTCAATAGAGCTTTAAGAAAGAGGACATACAAAAACAGCTCCCTTCCCAGCTGGCTGCTTTCATTTTTCCAGGTTCCCTTTCTATTTCCAGGTTAAAAGCAGTATTAGCTAACACAACTTTAGTTTAAAGTGTCAAACAAATTTTCCCTACACATTAGATGGAACCTACACAATTAGCAAAAATCTAAGCCGTTTAAAGTTCTAAACAAAATGCACATAGACATGCCCCATGGAAAAGGGATTATTAATAAGCACAAAGCAAATCAATACTGGTCACTTGGAGCTCAAAAGTATTCCACATCACTTTTCACACATTAGATTTTTAAAACTCGTAATAAATTTAATGGTCAAAATCAAGAGTTCTTACGTTCAACTTGGTTTAAATTCTAATTCAAATTCTTTTCCAAGATATCCTTATTTACACATCATCCTTCTTTGAAGGAAAGAGGAAAGGAAAGAAGGAAGGAAATTGCTATATAATTTTCCCTTCACAAGCCTTTTCTTCCTCTGTTTAAGCAAGGAGCCTGGGGACAGAAGATGCTTAAAGACTTTTGTCAAGTCTGTGAAATGTATACTTCCTCAAAAAGTGGCAAGTATCAAACAAAAGACACAGTTACTGGAATGAAGGGGGCAGAGTGAGTGTACAACTTATCTACTCCTCTCCCCAACTCCATTCCATGGACTCGCACCCTGTCATTTCTTCATCTGTCTGTAGGTAGAGGCTGAATGAGTTATATGAAAAGAGGGCTGAATGAATGAGCAGATAAATGATGGAATGAAGACAAGCATGATTAGTATATTCTAAGGGCAAGCTCAGCCAAAAAGCAATGAAAAGTTTTGCAGTACTTCTATGTCCTTTGAACCCAAGGGCTTGGGGAGCTGCTTTTACCTACGTTTTGGATCAAATTCCACATCTGAGTGCTGAAGCTCCTTACCCATATTCTGAAAATCGACTGCTTGTCCAAACGCCAGGCTTGTTTATGGGCAAAGCTGGCTCTTCTAATGCTCAGATGAGAAACTCTGTCCTTTAGAAAGCACTCGCAACTAGACAGAGATAAGAAGAAAAGTATCCATAAATGCACATTCTTGCTCATTTTACCTTTCTAAGAAAGAAAGCTTCTGCAGAAAGGCATCCTTAAGGCTCAAGTGCTCCCTTCCACCCCTACCTTGAAGAGGAAAAAATGAGGAAAGTTACGCGTAACTTTGTTAGTGCTTGAGATCAGCTGAAAACAAGAAATCCCCCTGCTGGACTTCATTGGCCTAATTAAAACTCATAAAACACAAATGACTATAACTGCTCCCACTGAGTTGTAAAATGTGAAGCAGAAGCAGCAAAAGTCAATTTTGCATTTCAGTATTGAGAGGGCCAGGCCTTAAGACGTGACACTTTATAGAACAGAACTGAGAAGGCCACTGCTGAGACTTTAGGGTTCAGTCAACTTTTACTCTACTTTTGTACCCAAAGTACTTCTCATCTGCCCTGGCAACAGTCTATTTGGATTTAGATTCTGTTTCCATAACAAACTAGTGGCCTGGAATTAAGTTTCTTTGTTCCTCTGTACCAGTGTTCTCTCTATGAAATAGACCTGACAGTGGCACCAAAGCTTGCTATGAAAATTAGGTCACTGCTGGTCGAGTACCTACAATAGCACCTACCCAAAACGTACTAAGTACACAACAAATGGCAGTCACTTCCTTGCTGCTATTTGGGTTAATCTGATGTGCAAAGAGTCACATGCCTTAGTATGAACCCAGGCTTTGGGGCTAAACTGAAAGGATTAGATGTGAGAACACAAGTGTGTTAGCACATTGCTTCAGGTTCCTTCACATGTGCCTGTCCATGTGTGATCTGGTACGACCATTACATATGCCAGCTCTCCCCCTGCCCTGTGGCTTAGAGAAACCAAAGGAGTCACTCAGCTACCAAGTAGCAAAGTGAGCTTAAAGCACAAGTATGCTTGCACCAAAAGCTTAGGCCTCTTAAGGAATAAACACTTCTACACAGGCTGCAAGCTGGCAACTTTATAGGGCCATGGGAACCACAGTTATGTACTGAATACCCACTGAGAAATGTCTACTACGGATTAGGAGGTAATCAGAATTGTAAAAGCTTTCAGCAAAGCCTAGTTGGACCTGTGCAAATTCAACCCATTTTTCTTAGTTTTCAGAACTTTCTACCTCATACATGCATATAATATATATATGCATATATTTTATATAAATATATACACATATCGTACCACCAATTATGAAAAAAGAAAAATCAATGGATCTTCTGTTAAAAATACTTTATCCACCTTTTTAGCTGGGTGTGGTGGCATACACCTTACCCCAACACTTGGGAGTCAGAGGCAGGCAGATCTCTGTGAGTTCAAAATCGAGTTCCAGGCCAGCTAGGACTACATAGTAAGACCCCCTGTCTCAAAAAAAAAATCATCTTTTTAAAGAAAAAAACTCCAGTAACACCAATAACAGGCCTCCAGCATAACAAGTGCTTCCAGAAATTAAACTGCTTCATGGAAAAAGGGGAGAGTCCCTTAAAATATAGCTTGGTATTCACAATAGAGGACTCAATCTTATAGCTTAAAATAACTAGTTATACTGCTTTTGGTTTTAAAGAAGTTATCACTGCATTTATATAAATAATCTAAAAGTGACTATAAACAAAAGTTTGCTATTTACTATAGCTAAGAAAAGCAAATGACTGCTTTTACAAAAGTACTGAATCCAACTTTTACATGTATCAAATCTCATCCTCCAAAAATTAAAGGAAATGAACTATAATAATGTATTTACATAAGAACATAGTTTACAGTTAATGATGTGTTGTGCTTTATGTCTTAGATTAGTCTAAATACTTTGGAGTGTATAAGTTAGAATAAATGTAGGAATGAAAGATAAGAAGTTACACAGTTGGGAATCCTAAGAACTTGAAGGAGACACTCAAGATTAAATCATAGATTTTTAACATATTATGTAGAGCAATTGTTTTAATATTGACTACTTTTCAAAGAAATAAGGATTATTAAGAAGGTGAATGCAAGATGTTTTAGCTAAAATAGATGTTTTATGTGCCCTTCCATTTCTATATTACAGTTCAAATTTCTGTATAATTTGAAAAGCAGCTGATAAAATGATTTTACTTTGCCAGGTTCTCCGTAGTAATTCTTACTCTTTCTAATGTCAAGAAAACAAATACCAATCATTTACTTTCTACATTTTTTCTATATTTTTATTTATTTACTTATTTATTTTTAATAATGTATTGAGAATTTCATACATGCATACAAGGTGTTTTGATCAAATCCATGGCCACTTCCTCCCCTCCAGTTCCTCCCATATCTCCCCATCACTTTTTTCTGATAACTTCATGTACTCTTTCTTCTTCTTTGATTTATTTATTTTTTATGGGGCTTTTGGCTACTCTAACATTCCCTCCTTCTGAAGCGGTAGCCCTAAAATCTTTTAAGGATTAGATAAAAATTCCCAAATACTTTAGACATTTTTGGCCTTTAGAACAGAGTATGTTGCTGAGAGGCCCAAGGACATTGTGAGAAACTGGCTACTTTTCTTTGGGGTCTTTTTACCCTAACTGCTTAGCCAATTCCTACCTTTTTTTTTTGTCTTTTTGTAGACAGGGTCTCCCTATAGCCCCAGCTGTCCCAGAACTCACTATGTGGACCAGGCTGGCCTCGAACTCACAGAGATCCACCTGCCTCTGCTAATCACACCATCCTCTGAAGAGGTTACCGAACTTGTGGATAGGGAATCGGGACGTAGACCGCTCTGGCTTGATTTCTAAATTAAAAAAAAATATACCCACTGGTGACTGTGACCAGTGATAGTCATGTATATAGAGATTAGAAATGCATGTGAAAACGTCTCAATGTCAATTGCCTTGGAATGAATTCTTCTGTATGAAAAAAAACAAAACAAAACAAAACAAGTATCTTCTTGAAGTCCCTCAAATTAAGGTAAAGAATAAGAACAAATCATTCTGGAAGAACGCAAAGGAAAATAGCTTTAGATACTTAAGTGACAATAGAATTTATTCTCATAATTGTTTTAATAGCTTTTGTATAATACTCATCGCTATTATGAGATATAAAATGTATTTATCAAATCTGTAATCATTATGCCAAAAAATCTGAATTACTGTAATTTTATACATTATATATAATATAAAATGGTAAGTAAGAAAAGTACTGTGGATAAACATCTTTTTTCTTACCGATGGGACTTTGCAATTGAAATGATGGAATGAATTTGAAGACAGAGATCAAAGAAATAGATCGAGAAATCTTTAAATTTGTTCCAAGATAACTACTAATAGTGCCTGACTAAAATGTCAAGCATATATGTAAAATATACACCATGCCAAAAGGAGATGGTCGCTGCTACGAAAATTTCAGCAGGAAGGGGGTGGGAAGTACAACAAGGAGGCTTCCATCAGCGTGGAAAGATTTTTTAGTCACTAGAAATACATAGGGACCTGAAGGTCACTGTTTTGAAAAGCACTGTTAAAAGTTTCCTGTCCTAGATTAGGTCCTGCAGCCCCATTTCCAGGGGCTCCCCAGAGAGCACATACTGTGCCCAGCATGACTCCCATGCCAGAGAGTAAGCCCCTTGGAGATAACCCATTTTCCCTTGACAGTCTAGACCTCCTACTGGGTAAAAAGGTCCCAAAAATAGCTATGAAAGGACTCTTCCCAACTTTGTAAGTAAAGTCCTTTGGGGTTCTGAAAAAAAATGCTACTTCCTTTGTCTTCGCCTTTCAAGAGTAAAAGTCAGGCTGAATCACTGAGGCGGTTCTATCTCTGGTACTCCCAGTCACACCCAAGACCTAGTACAAACACTCCACACAGGACCCTCATATTGGCCAGGGTGTCTGTTATCATCAGTTTCCGCTGGCTGTAGGCACAGGGTAAGCAGGCATGAAAGGACCCTGCTGGAACACCCCTCTGACTCAGCCAAGTTTCAGTGCTTTCAAATTCTGGCTCCAGTACCTTCTTCCTGTATTGTTTTGGGCAACTTATTTCACCTCTCGGTGCATTATTTTCTCTTCATAAAATTGAGTAACAATCATATTGGTTGTATAGGGTTTTTTAACAGTTAATATATGCAAAGCATTCTATACCAAAATCTATCTCCTGAGTACCTATCAGAAACTGTTGGACATTGTACTAGACACCTGTGATATATTTAGTATAGTGCCTGGCACATAGTGTGAGTTCAATGTATGGTAACTGGAGCATCGAAAACCCTTATCTGACACTCAGATTGTTGTTAATTTTATAAAGGTCAGAGAGTCACTATTTAAAATATGCATACATGTATATGTAACTCCATCCAGGGGTTACCATAGGTCTGCTATGGTATTCCAAAATGAAGGTTGTGTATAATTCTATGATAAAACATATCAAGAATCATACTTAGTAAGCTAAATAAAGACTACAATTAGCCTCTTGTAAGCTCTGGTCAGGATTTGCTGTCAGTTTGTTATGTGGGAAATTTTTTGATGTTACAACTTTTGAATTTCAGAAGAAATGGTAGATCTATATTTATTAAATAAGGGGCAAACTCCACTGAAATTTTTCCTCTTTAACTCTCAAAGTGCTAGTGACAAAATAAACTGCCAAACCCTTTTAGGAATAGTAAATGGTAACAGTAAATAGGAAGCCCTTTAGGCAGAGAAAATGCACAAGTACATACTTAATCCATGACACATTACTCTAAGCAGTCTCCTCTCCCTCCAATACAGTATTTCCTAGATTTTCAACCTACCAATTAATATCCAGACAGATCTCAAAGAGGAGTTTTAGAGGTAATTTTTGAATAAGATAAAACGCTAAGGTTTGATCACTATTTTTATACTAGTATAATCCTGTCCCATAAGAAGACAAAAGCTGCTAAATGACAAATGAACAGTTGGTTTAAAAGCATGTGTCTTGCAAGAACACAGAACCCTCTGAAGTCAGCCTAGGAGAGATCAATAAATGTTATGCCAAAATGGTAAACCATCCTGCTGCTTCCAAAGGAATTTTCTCCACACTGCATTTTTAAGGAGATATTTGCAGCTCTTGAAGAGCTATACAATAAGTGGTTCAAGATGTTCTCACTGCTGGTCAGTGCTGGACAAAGGATTTGCACAACCTCATGATAGCTGACTTCTACTTTTTTTTAAAAAAAAAATTACCCTATGTTGGTACTTATTTTTCCCAACTTTCCTGAATCTTTTCTATTGATATTGTGCTAACGTATCGCTTTGTTCAAATATAGTATTGATCTCTGTTCACCACTTCCATGGTAATCCTGTACACAAAGGCATGTCAGGAAGACATGAAAGGAATGGAGATTCTTAGGTTACTTCATGGTTTTTCCCTTCTCATTATCCTCCTACTCCAGGAGACTGTAAGTGGGAGGTCTGAATGACATTTCCAAACTGAGAATTTTAAAATTTCATTTCACACCCAACTACTCAGTTGTCATAGGAACAACACTGAGGCTTATCCGAGTTCTAACAGCCAGTCATTTGACTAGCAGTTAAAGCTACCCCTTCACGTTAAGTATAGACACACATATACATACCTCGAAAAAAAATTTAGCCAGGTAAAAGTGTACACTACACCTAGCAAATACTCTTTGAGAAATATGATTGAGGTTTTTGTTTCTGGTTCAGCTTAACTTTAGTTTGTTGTTTTGCATACCCAGGACAACAAAAGCTATATACGTGTCATTACTATATTTTTACTGAGTATACCAAAATACTAACACCTTCAGTGACCTCAGGGGAAAATTCAGAGCAATACTGTCATTCGTTTCAGATATGCATGCAAAAATTAATAAACTGAGAACAGAGAATGACAGAACTAAAAACATGAAGCTCTCTAATAATTCTTCTGGGATAAACTTTCTAGCATTTACTCTTCCAATCTAAATCTATCACACAGTTTTATCACTCAAGATAATGGCTTCTAAATTTATAAAGAAAACTTAAAATATACAGAGGTTTTTTTTTTCCTATCAAGCATGACATTATTTGCTCAATTACTAAATCAGCATGCTTTACCAAAGTATTTACATGAAATGCAGAGCTAAAAATAATTGTAAGTCACTGAACACATGCTAATGGTAGGATATAAATTACCTGGAAAAATCTTCATGCTTTGTCACCATTTCTGTCTTCAACTTGTAAATTCATGTGTGTCGGGGGTACACCTTAGTTAAGTCAAGTAACTTGCAACATTCACAAATTTTCTATACCAATGTCCTCATTTCCCAGTGGATCTGCCCTTCACAGTCATGCTTATCGTGTCTTTTTATCTGTTTCTTTAGAAATAAATATGTAAACAGACATCCTGAGAGCTATTCATTTAAGAAAATGATCTTCAAAATTCTCAAAATACATGAAAGGGAGGGGGAGACCCACCTTCCTCCTCACCTTTATCCCACTCACCTAGCAACACGGAACCTGCAGCACACTACTATGCTTCTTTACTAAATTTTTCTTGTTGAAGCTGAAGATTTTATGGATTCAAAAGCAAGAGAAAGGAAACCAAACGTCAGACATGTACATTCAACTTGGTTTGAAGCACTTAAAAGGAAAATAAATATTACATCCTATATAATCCAAAGCACAATTCTGTCCATAGTTTATAGCTACATATGCATATTCAAAAATGGTAATTGCTCAAATCATGTTCTGTTCAATCTTTTTAACATAATATTAAACGAAGTCAACAAATCAGACATCCATGTATAATAAAAAATTGTGTGACTTTACAGTTCATGAATAAGAACTTATTTTATGAACATAGTAGTCAAAGCTTTATTTTGTATTTCTTGAAGCCTTAAGCATAGGAGCTGCTCAGACGGAAGATAAGTATACTGATTCGTTGATGTTTCAGACAGGCAGACACACGCACCAAACCATGAAGAGTTGCTTATCACCATCTCTCCAAACGTTCTGAACTATAAAGAAATAAGTACCCTTTTGCTTTTCTTATATAATCAAATAGAATATAGAATATCAGAATATCTATTACCATTATAAATTTGCTGTTCACAATCAGAAGGTGTTTCTGATGCATTATTTCAACTTTCAGTCTGTAAAGCTCTAAATAAACACTTTACATCCTGGAGTAGAGGGAGGCAAAGGAGGGCTAGTCGACTAACTCTGAAAGCATTCCTTCAAATTTCAAGATGCTAGTCAGGGTAAATGCAAATGTCTATCCACGGAAACTGAATGCACCAGTTCAAACAACTCATTTGATTTTATGTTCTCCCCCACGAAAAGGGAAACAATGTTCAAAAGGCAAAAAATCTAGTTGTATTACGTTATGTTTAACTATAACACACCAGGACTTGGTTCAGTGTGTTAACTACCTGACTCCTTGATTTATGCTATCGTGTGGGGCTGCCCACTTTTAAAATTCCGATTTGTTTATATGTTTTCTGTTCCACATACTTGTTAGGGGTCTGTGAACAATTCTGCAGTCCCCACCCACGCACCATATGATATCTATTAGGGCAATGACACTTTTTACTTACCGATTCTGGATAACGCAGTTTTTCCTGGTGACAGAACGCTGCAGCTTCTGTTTGCTCAAATTCCCTCTTCGCAACGTGATAAATCTGGTTATAAAACAGCTTTGTTCTGATCACACGAGGCACTTTTTTCCTTCAAAAGTTTTCTAAAAGTTATCTGCGTTTCATTCCTGTGACAAAATGAATCAGAACAAGGGGAAGGGGGGGCAGGGAATTAAGTCCACACAGTTCTTGGCAAAGATTTTCAGTCGCATTTTTCTCAGTTTAATCAGTAAGCTACATTAAAGTGACAGTTACCAGTTCAGGAAGCCAGTTTGATTAAATCAGCCACAAGCAATTTGAGTGTTTTCTACTGGTGTGCAGACCCCAAGGCAGCAGCCACTTGGTTATCTATTACATGGGGCTGAATCACTAGACAGAACCCACCCCCACCCTGCCCCTGATAAGCAGCAGCCAAGGCGGGAGAATGGACTGTCGCCTGACCCGGGACTTCTTATAGGGACCCACCAGTTAGTTGCTGACCAATCACAGCCAGCACCTAGTACCTAAGTCACATGACAGGGCAGTTCCTATGACTGTAGGATTTCTGAATTACTGGGGTTACACAAAGGACATTCATTCAGGGAAGGGGAAAAAAAGCTGAAATAGAAAACACCCTGGCTTCAAGAACTCTGGCTCTAAGAACGCCATCTTTAAACAAGGAACATCCTAGCCTTACACAGACAGAGAAAGAGCAGGGACCCCACAAAGATGGAAATCAGAAGAATGTGTGGCATGTATTAAAAAATCATCTCAAAACAGAGAATTTACAAACCTACTTTAGCTATAAATCTACTCCCATCCTCCTGTCCTGGACAGTTTCCCTGACAATTTTACACTCTAAACTTCTGCACAGCTCCAGGGAGCTTTACAGAGATGCTGTGGAGAAAACAGGCAAGGCACATGAGCCTCTTTTTTCATCCCCTGAAAGCACCTCAAAAGGTAATTCCAATTTTCCATGAAAAGATTCCTATGTCAAATACATTTCTTTTAAAATAGTTGTGAAAATTAAGCAAATTTAAGCATCTTCAGGACAAATTTTTATATTAACTACCAAATCATATACCCCCTCGTCGTATAATGTCTATATCAAGGACATTCTTGTTAGGTAAAAAACTAGCTGTCAATTTATTTTTAACTTATCTTTTAAATTATTTTTAATTTATCTTTTAAATACCTCTTATGCCTTAAGGAAGAAATTCCACCATGAATACCCCTACAACCTCTTCATTCTCCAAAAATGGTACTTACAAACGTTCCTTGTTTAGAGCTGTCCATTTCTCTCCCTCCCCCGCCCCTCGAAGACATATAAAGTCAAAACATGGGCTCGGCTTCATCTTTCCAACCTAGACACCCTATTTTGCTGGTGCAAAGCTGCAACAGCTCCTTCCCCAAGGCAAGCCTGGAACACTGTGCTGCTTGCCATTCCCAATTTATGGAAGGAAGCGTATGTCAAATAAACCAGGTGGTGACTCAGACTGCCTCCCCCGGCCACATTTTCCCTCGAATGGGAGGGTAGTAGAAGTGCAGCCCATTTGGATGTGACTCAGTTTTATTAGACTGGTAGTTGTAGTTGATCTGACAAGCTCACATTTTTCTTTCATAACTTATACATTTAAGGATCAGAATGCATGTTCTAATGGGTTTCAAAGCATTCAATCATGTAAAAAAGAAAGCTGCTAGATTATTTTTTAAGCATCAGCTAAGCTCTGGCTCCTACTACCTAATATGTAATGTTTCAGAATTATGTGTTGGAAATTTTACAGCTGAGGCCACTGACCAATCAAGTTTACACAACAGTGTGTGGGGGGGAAGGCTTATATGTATAGATCTGCCTCACATATTTACCATGGGAGGACCCAAGTTTAAGTTAAGTCTTAAGTAAGGGGCCCACGTGGTGGGTTCTTCAGGAAGCGGTCAGGGATGAGAGAGCCATGTCAGCCATGTCGCAGCTTTCACTTTTGCATGTACTGCAATTTGCACTCTAACCAAGTCATTCACATGCAAGTGCAACACAACCACCTTCCCCTGCACCTCATCCCCGGCTATACAGTCAAAGCTTTAATATCAACCTTCCAAAAGGCTCCAAGACAAAAACTTGAAAATTACTAAATGGTCTCTGTGAAAATCCTAATTAAATAAATTGACGTGGCCTAAAAAGTCTCTCTTCAGTACACTGTTTACTACCATGACGAGTGGCATTACAGAGTAAACTGTTCCCAGGTATTATGCAAACAGGAAGAATGAAATAAGTCACACACACACACAAGCACACACACACACACACACACACACACACACACAAATCTGAAAGGCTCAGGCGAGCAGTTCAACTATAGTTATCTCTTTTCAACATACTTCCTCTAACCTTGAGCAAAGTCAGCAACTGCTCTGACCAAGGCTTGGCATTTATTGTTGACTAAGCCTTGATGGATAACTAGTCATGTTAGAATGTAGGACATACCTTCTCTTTTTCCCACATAGGGTAATACTAAAATAGCTAATTCCCAAATTCATAGATGAGGATAGAAAAAAGCTATATACGCTCAAGTGGTAAAGCTGATTATTGACTTTACAGAAAACTCCCCTGTGGGGTTTTACTGGATAAATATCACATTAAATTTACATATAAAGTTGGTTTTCAGAAATTAAATTTCCATAAAACTACTTGGAAATGCATTTCTAAATTATAGTTTTGAAGTCTATTTTAACTTACACACATATTTCTAATCAGTTATTAAAAGTTATTCATACTTCAACAGGGATATATTAATCTAGTCACTGACATTTTCTAAGTTTTATTGGCTTAAAGACAGTTACCTTCCTATGATATACAGAGGATCCAAACTTTCTAATTATATGGTTTTTAATGAAAATAAACAGGCTACGAAAACAGAATGTTAGTAAAATCAAGCAATTAAAATTCTGACATCTGAAAGGACCTATAACATATTTTAAAAGTCTTGCTTTAAAAGAATTGCTGTTGTTTGAATCCTGGTTCCATCATTCATAGGTACACACCTGGATGGAAAAATTATTGCACGTAAGGGCTGAGAACAGAGCCAAATAGATCACTCTGCAGTTGCACACAGCTTAGTCCTTCCTAAAATAACATTTCTGACTGAATGAGAAAAATATAATTCCATCACCACTTTAAAAAACCGCTTTTAACTACTTTATAAACAATGACCAAGCTATAGAGTGCCCTGCCCCACTAGTGTTCCAGCACTTGAAACTCTCATGCAGGTTACAAGATCTACTTGGGCCTTCATTTTCTGGAGCCTCATGAGGTCAATGCAGAATGGAGGTGTGACCAGCCAAGATCAGCCAGAGAAGGCATTCAGGAATTCCCATTACAGCTGGGTATGGTGACACAAGGAGTCTGAGGCTGTGATAGGAGGATGGGAACTTCAAGGCCATCGTGAGCAAAACCCTGCCTCAAAATTCAAACAAACAACAGAATTCCCACTCTATAGCTTAGTTGGACCAAGATATTAGAACTATTAAAGATTGGGGGGGCATTACAGCCCTGTTTTTGACAGAATGATGTACCTCAAAACAGCCCCTAATCAGGATGAGGAAGGAGAGTACTGAGACCCAGAAAAAGTACCCATGGTCTATTGCTCCTTTTTCTCCATAAGGCCATAACATAAAAAACTTTACCACAATTACCCTAAGGGAAACCCAGGCAGTTGAATGGTGAAACCTCAGTATACATTCCCTGGCAACTTTGTCTTTCATTATGAAACTTTCCTTCCTATACGTGCAAGGGGCACAGGTTCCACAGTTCAACCACCCTAAAAACCTAAAAGGTAACAAAAATAACAAAAGCTAATATAGCTTCCAGTCAGCATATAACATATTTGAAGAATAAGGCCAGCAAGCAGACATCTGAGGTGCAGGCGTACTTTATAAGTATGTAGAGCCTCAAATATGGTGCTAGGCACTGCTCTGGGGGAGAAGAGAAGTACTGTTCTGAGGGGTGAGCAACTGCTCCAACTTGTCTTTACCCAGGAAAGTCTTCAGAGACAGATGGGAACATAATCGGGGGAAAGCCAGCGAAATGGAGAAGGGTGGTTGGGATTACAGAAGAGTGCTGGGAGGAGGCTCAGTGCTCTTCCCCTGCGCATAAGCTTGGTTCAGATGCTTAGACCTGACTCAACTGTGCAGTTCAAAGGTTGGTTTGGGGAAACCTCTCTGTAGGTAACCTCTAAAATACCACATGATCAAACTTCAGTTCCAGAAACCCAAACTACAGGTCAATGTGAGGACAGACAGCCTGGCTTCTAATACTGGCTCTGGGATGGTATTATCTGAGAATCACTTACTTCCTGTTTTGCTTCATCTAGAGAATGGGATTAAGAAAATATAAGGTAGAAACAGAATTCTTTGCCTCAATAATGCCCACCACCTCTCTATGGGTGAGCACCCAACCCATATGTTATTTCCTACTCCAAGGGCAGGAGGAACAATCTCAAGCTTCCAAGAAACACTGTTCATTTAAAGGCAAATGAAGTGAGTTCATCAGTTATAACAGTCAAAAATCTTTGGAGAATGCCAGGCATGATGGTACATGGCATAATTCCCCGACTTTCGAGACAGAGTCTGAGGAACACAAATTCAAAGCCACCATGGGCTGTGCACAGTGTGAGATCATGTATACAAAACAAAATCTTTGGAGACATGCTATATTCATTTGTTGTATAGTAAAGTGTCCTACTTTGAAAGCAAATTAGCTTTGAATGTAGTTGGTGTAAAATTTCCAGTATCAGAATTTTCTCACAGAAACTTGCCCCCAAGGCTATGTGAACATCTCGGCAGACACGCACACAAACTACATACAGATTTACTGAAGACACTGGGAACATTTCTTTATGAGGACTGGCCTCTGTTTCAAGCTTTTCATGTTATATAAGGGGCCGCCTTTGCCTGTCTTCCTGCAATGATTTCAGACCAAAGCCAGATACTTTACTCAGAAGTTTTTATTAGTTGTCTTCTTTCCCCACCCATTTTCAAGAATGAACTGACTCAGTTCTTTGATGACAACACCAGCATGGGTGGGAGTGAATATGGGAGGGGGGGTGGAGGAAGAGGAGGAGAAGGAGGAGGAGGAGGAGGAGGAGGAGAGGAGGGAAGGAGGAAGGAATTTCAGACCAAAGCCAGATACTTTACTCAGAAGTTTTTATTAGTTGTCTTCTTTCCCCACCCATTTTCAAGAATGAACTGACTCAGTTCTTTGATGACAACACCAGCATGGGTGGGAGTGAATATGGGAGGGGGGGTGGAGGAAGAGGAGGAGAAGGAGGAGGAGGAGGAGGAGGAGGAGAGGAGGGAAGGAGGAAGGAGCCAAAAGCTGAATCACAGCCATGTGAGTAATCAGGGGTTTTTTTTTTTTTTTTTCCTGCGGTT